CAGAGAGAGAAGAATTTACCCCGTCACATATGACAGAACGCATTTCCGAGGAGCGTTTGGCAAGCTCTAATAGGACGTTATAATTTTGTGCAAACATCGTATATTTTATATCACAAACATAGCAAATAAAAAGCAGTTTTTTTTAAAATTTGTATTGGTCTCATCAACAATTAAAATCCGATTTTTTTGGTGACCGCGTGGTAGACGAAAACGCAACTTTTCTTTCCTGGTGTTTTTCCTAGGCTTGTGCAGACGCAGTCTTAATCCACCGTGGTTTTGCGTGTATGCATTTCATAAATGTACCATTGACTCACAACGCGTGAATTTTGTTATTCAGGCTTCGAACTGTGCCTGTACACGTTCAAAATAGGTCGAACCACTTGTTCCATAGCGAGGTCACAGTTTGAAAGTGCGGATGAATGCACAATAAAACAACGGGGCGTGTCTATTGTGTACGCCGAGCGAATTAGGGGTACTAGAAGTATCTGGTTTTGAATCTTACAGGACGCGACAACGTACACTGTAGGTGAGTCGTGAGTGAATTATATCACAATTGCAAGCGATTTTCTGTGAAACCTGGCCCAGGTGTTGTTCATTGCGCGCTGATGAGCTGGTACTGCACTGACGTTCTACATCGGTCGCTTGTAGCTGCTGTTGCGAGCACTGGTGGTTGTACAGTGAGCGTAGTCAGCACGCATAATTAAAGAATGGTATGTCGTGTTTATTGCAATGTGTTGTCGCATACCAAAGATGTTGTCTTATTGATTCGGTACGTCATGGGGAGGGGGTTAATTACGACTGTGTTTACGGTCGGGGGTTGGGAAGGCACAGCGAAGGCAGTCGAAGTCAGCCGACAATTAGTACATAACCTCTAAGTGGAACGCCTAAGTGGAAGTATTTTGAGTGTTGCTCATGCATAAAATGGCATTTCCGCGGAATCAGACACTGACTGCAGTGTATTCCTGTACTCCATTGATTTACTGTGTAATACACAACGCAGCAGTGGACGCATCTTCGCGTACTTGTTGCACGGCAAGTTGTACAACGCAATTACCCCCTCACGCCTTACACAGTTTTCGATGTGTCAGGAAATATATACTGATATATCCGGGGCAAACACAGCCAAGATACGACCCTTAAGTGTGCCAAGGTTATTTCCGTTGTATGTGTTTGAACGTGCGTGTTTCAAAACAAGAGAAACGATTTCTTCACGTGTCACGATTGTCGAGAAAATTGATGAAATGACGCCTTGGTGATTTAAAAAAAAAGAAACTTGTTTGTAAACCCCTGGAGGCAGAGCGTACTAGGTCAAACATCTTATACCAGTGTTATTCAGGCTATGGTCAAATACACTGTCAGTGTTACCGGTAATAATAACGTTATTAGTTTTATTTGTCTCTAACGTGCATGTATGTTTATAAGGGTAGTTACCTTTTTAGTTAGCAATGGGAGAAATATGCACATTTTGTACGTTAGGTATTTTTTAAATTCATGACTTTCACGTTTGAAATTTTCGCCTCCGAATGTTGCTGAGGAATCGTTGTACGTTTCGCACGTTGTGCACGTTTCGCACGTTGTGTACGTTTCGCACGTTGTGTACGTTTCGCACGTTGTGTACGTTTCGCACGTTGTATATGTTTCGCACGTTGCGTACGTTGTGTACGTTTCGCCAATTCGCACTTTTATACTTACGAACTGGAAGCCTTGTACGTCTATCATTTTTACATTTTTAACTTTCACGTTTCCCCCCCCCCCCCCGACTATTGCAGAGAAATTCTTGCACGTTTCGCGCGTCCCAGTTTGGTATCGCGCTTGACTCTTTCATCCCGTTCAACAAATTGATTGGTTCATTTGTTCACGTGACCGTTGGTCGGGGTATAATTTATTCGGAGGCTATGAATAGATTGTGTATCATATGCGCAACTGCATCTGTAATTCTCTTTTTAAAAGTGTAGACAACTGTAAAACGTATCATAACAGGCATCCATCTATGATAGATTTATTTTTGTATTTAATTTTTACTTTGCCAATATTTACGATTTTCATCAGTTCTCCATTGAACTTATATAGACAAGCCATATATCATGCACATGCGCAGTCAGAGTTACGCTTAAAGGCGCGCCATGTTTGCAGTTTGGTAAAAAGGCTTGTAAATTGAAGACAAAAACAAAATAAAAATAAATAAAAAAACAACAACATGCTTTAAAGACCACACATGATCCCCATATCGCACGAGCCTATCTAGTGGATAAATCGAAGCACCCCTGCGTAAATAATGGAATATCCTTCTCGGGTTAGAGCTTAGTAGGTGAAAGACATTGTCCCGTGAATCTAATTCTGTCATGCTTCAAAATTAATGAGATTTCCACTTTACAGAAATGGCGAAAATCGAATGTTCACGTATATTCTGGAAGCAATGGTTTCGAAGTAATCTGCTTCCTGATGCTGACGCTAGTTGGCGTCTTGGTTGGATTCATTCTCATACCAATTATCAAGGTAATTCTTTTAAATGGTATTTCTTTTTAAGAAAGAATTTGTAAACAATCGCGTCTTAAAAATCAGGACAAAGAACATCAACTTTATTTTTAAAAACAAATAGTAAAATTGAATTACTCCGACTGGATCAGTCTGCTAATTCGCATACTGTATACAAGTCAGAATACGGCATCAAATCCGCCATTACTGCTTTCCTCTTCGTTCATTAAGGTATAGATGCCGGTTCGTGGGTACTTGGGAGCGAAATGTTGTTTTTTTGGCCTTTTATTATTCAAACAAGTCTTGGCTATAGACTGTTAACATTTTGCAGCATTGTGAATAGTGGAACATACTCAAAAGACGGTTTAGCAAGATGCTTAGCAAGACTTAGCAAAGCTGTACATAAATAATCAAAAAGAAACATGGTGAAAAAAAGTAATGACGGGATCTCCATATTATGCACTATATTTAACTTTTCACAACACGATAATAGGTTTAAATTTGGAACTGTTACAGGCATTTTAGTTATGAGCATTAGCAAACTTCTTACTGAGTGAATGGTTATGCAAATTAGCCATTATCTCCACTTGTGTTTTTCAGTTTACCAGGGAAGTTCAAATCTAAATAGCTTTCACAATTGTTGGTTATTTTAAGTGAAACTTTCACACAACGTTTAATCAGTTGTTTATTAGCAAATGAATATACCTAATTTGCATAATAACATGGTGCGCACCTATAGCAATAATGACCTGATTTACATAATAACATGGCGGACACATACAGCAATACTGACCTTATTTACATAACAACAAATGATAATTTTATTTCAGTGACATATATAAACTAACAAAAGTACAGTAGACTGTTGCATTTTCCGACTATTACCTGTATTTGTTGTTTTCCAGCCCCTCAATCCATCAGACGATGTCGTTATGTGGATTGGTCTGCCGGGAGAGCTGTTTATGAGAGGGCTATATTGCATGGTGATCCCAGTGCTAACGGCAAGTGTCATAACAGGTCAGTACGATGACGTAATGTGCATGCCAAAATATGGATAGTGTTTCGATTATTTCATCGAATAGGTGATTTTCCGTTCAACTGCGAGATCTCGTGAGTTGCGTGAAAGACGCACGCCGAACGTCCGCCGCTAAAATCGAACGATTTGATTTTGATCTCGAATTTCTTTATTTCATAGCTCACATCGAAAAGCCGATCTTTGACAGGGGAATATTGCGTTTGAATACCCTTACTTCATCGAAATTGACCATCATCAAATGTATACAGCACATTATTAAGCATGGAAATGTCCCCCAAAATACTTCGCGTTTGTCAAATCCCACGCGATGTTTGACGCCACTACGATGCTATGACCTTTGTTTGTCCTGTTTTTGCGTTCGATTTCACGCATAACGCGTGATTCTCGCAGTGAACGGAAAATGGTCTATTCAAGCGAGATTTCGCCTAAAATGTTTCTGGGTACTAATCAGGTAGTCGCCAACTCATAATATTTGAAAAAGTTGGTCATAAATCGCATGACAATTGGTTTATTATGTACACTCATGTAGCTATTGTCCCATGGCACCATTTTTAGTATTACCGTTACGTTTTTTGAGAAACTTATATATTTTTTTTAAATCGTGATGTTGAGAACATATGGAACATAATATCATTGAATTTTTTTTATTTTTTGTGACTTTTTAAAACCCGGATTTAAAACTAATGCAGGATAGCAAAACGTACCGCATGAATAACAATATATGTTTCATCCTATGTCACAAGGCAACAATTTGGGATACGGCATAATATAATAAAATCGTCATAATACTAATCATATTGCCTCGGAGTACAGTTTATTGTAAACTGAATACAAATTCTGAGTATTTTCATTTACGAGTATGCTTCTTCCGTAAATGTTATAGCCCACTGGTTTGACGGTGTGCGTGAATTGTGGGAAGCGCCGGAGGATTCGTCCTTGCTCAATATTTTGACCCAGCCCTCCCAAAAAGGAGCTCATCCTCGAGAGCCTGAGTGCACTCCATTAGGGCGTCACGCTACCTTGCTTAAAGGGCGGTAGTCGTCGCGTCACGCATGCGCAAGATGTATGGGTCTCATATAAACGAAGATGGCGACTTTGACTGTCAAGCAGATCAACGAGTACAAACTGAGACGTTACCTAGCTATATTTAGGTATTTTATTAATTAGTGCAAGTGGCGCTCAGGTCAGACCTCATACACAAATACACAAATATTGCACATGCGCAGCTCGACGACCAACGCCCTTTAAAACAATTGAAAACAAAAATATGTTCATGTGCTAAGTCTACCTCGGTAATCGTGGATTTTATAATCGTACATTCTATCACTGTTAATGTCACCAGCCACTGCGTCTGTCGACCCGAAAACCAATGGTAAAATGAGTGGCTATAGTATTGTGTATATGGTAACCATGGTGTTCTTTGGCGTAGTGGTTGGCACTGTGTTGACGATCTCAATAAAACCCGGTAGAATTGCTATCGGTAATGACGATGATGATTTCACGGCGGCACATTACGAGACACAGGACGTTATCGCCGACTTACTAAGGTAATTATACTCACTAAAACCAAATGCATTGTAGTTCTTAAATGCAAATGGCCACCGAAGTCTCGTTGAAAAAGTGAGAGCCACGCGAGACCAGCCGCCATCTTGCTCCACATAAACATATAACGCAAACTAAGACTTTTATGAAAGCCCAGTGTTAAACCGGCCCCGTGTATGTTGGAAAGTTAGCTTCTTTTATACATGGAGTCGGTAAAATACGAGAGTTTTAAAAAGTTTTTAATATTTTGTATCACTGGTGAATGGGTCATGTTCATCTTCGTTCGTAGCTAGTCGTATTACAATCCCTAAAATTGTCCTGTGCGAGGTAGTGACGTTAAAAGAAAAGTCAAGGCTAACAATATATTACTTCCAGATGAAAGAGCTCGGCAAATTTAAGAACATGCAATTTACATTTTTTATATCACTTTTCATTCTCCATATTCATCTTGATTCTTCAGAAAAGGATTATGGGTAAAGTATAACATCACATCCACTGTTGACAAAAATTGAGAACATGATTTTATCTATAACTTCAAAAGTTGAATTTCAAATTGGCTGAAAGTTTAGAACATGGTAACATACATGCCAAACATACATATAAAATAGTTGTCATGGCAACAGAACTGAAAATATTATTTTTGTGTTTTTCTACCAAATTCTCAAATGTCCTGATATTGTATACAATTTATCAATGTCAGTAGGTTATATGGGTGATATAGAATCTGTTGACCACAACAAGGGGACAAAAAGTGTCATTTTTTTTACGTTTTTGGTAACATATTCATTTTATGTGAATTTGCAACATTCTAATTTTTATTACTATAATTATATACATGAGTAAAATGCAAACCTAAAATTTGTACAAATTCGCATCAGTATTTCTCACGTTATAGATGAAGGCATTTTCTCAATTTTTCACAACTGTGGATATGATGTCACACTTTACCCACAATCCTTTGTTGGAGAATCAAGATGGCGAACTACATATTACTGATAAAAAAATTGAATATATATAGAATGAAAAGTGATATACAAAAAACTGTAAATTGCATTCTCCTACATTTGTATAGCTCTTTCTTTAGGGAGCATTATGTTGTTTGGCTTGACTTCCCCTTTAATAATCCTTATTAGCGAGTGGCCGTTTAGACCTCGCTGATCGCGAGAGTGCAACGAGATTTGTTTTTTTACCCACCAAAATAACGTTCTATTCTCTTCTATCATCGCGCCCAATGTTCTCCTGATATATGGCACCATGGTACTAGTATTTGGCACACAGGACGCGATGGGGGGGGGGGTAACAATTTTCGAAGGATAAAAACAAGTCTCGTGGCTTATCGCTCTCAACGAGATTTCGTCGGCCATTTGCATCTGAAACCTATTAGACTAGTATGCGTGGTATACTCACATCACGCGTACGGTACCAGTTTAATAATGTAATACTGCCATTGTAGTTTATAGTTACGACTTTCTAGAGGTATTTTCTTTTCATTTTTTTCCCATCACTAGAAATCTGATTCCAGATAACCTCGTGAAAGCCTGCATTAAAACGGTAAGAGACGTTCTTGATATCAACATACTACATCAAGTCTTGTCCACAGATCTCATTAACATGTTTGTTTTTTAAAAATTATAAATGCTCTACGGTGAATGAATAAAACATTGTCAGACTCAGAGCCTACATTTTTAGAAGATAACAAAAATAGGATTACGAAACTCTTTGTAAATATATGGCAGTTTCAGTCATTTTACACAAGTTTTTAATAACAAAATAAAATATTTATAGTGTCCCAAATTTTAAATGTGTGGGTTAATTTTTGTATATAGTTTTTTTTTATAAATAAATACAGTTTTTACCTTGCCCGTACCATCAAAGATGGAAGGGAAAGGTATATTAAGGGAAAAATTTTGTCCGGCGTTGTCGTCGCCGTCGTTAATAATTGTTATTGTGTGCATAATAACTTTACTAATTCTATTCCAAACTTTATCAAACTTGGTCACCTTATTCATCAGTATAAAGTCTTCCCTGAGTATCATGCAAAAATTGAGAAAATCTGATAAAATATTTTGACTGTTTCTACTTGACTGATCACTGGTGATACACATCAAAGGTCACTGATCTCAGTGGAAATATGCATTGTTGTATGTGTTCAATGAAGCAAATGATTTATCTTGTAATAATATCTTTGGTATGGATCTCAGAATCCCATACTGGGTTTCAAAACCAACTCATGGAGAGATTGCACAGTCTGATACACATGTGCAAACCTACCAATTAAAATCTTTACAGAAAACAAGATGTCAGAAAATCAATATAAGCACTGCCTATGAACTGGGTGCCTAAACTTTGATCAAGATCTGAAGCTAATAGAAAATCTGTTTAGTTAAAAGTTATCAAATCAAAAACAATACATAAAAAATACATTAAAAGCAAAACATTTCATCCACATTTTAAAAAGAAAATTATTCTAAAATATATGTATTCTGTATTTGACAAACAGTTCATTCGACAAATGAAAACTCACAGGAATATGTTTCAGCTATTAGAACAGAATGATAGAGTTTTTTATAATAGTAGTTTAAAAAACGCACTTCAGAGATTGCAGTGTTTGAAGATGTAGTTTCTCAGGAGGCAACAGTACTGTTGACTTCTCCCTCCACTGGACACCAACTATTTAAGTTGATTTGCATACAAAGCAGAGCTTGCAACATGATAGCTATTCATAAAGGGTGTTTTTTTTACTTTTCATATAATACAGTAGTCACACAATGAGGCAGTTCATATTTGTCTCAGTAAATCATTCATTTTTGACAGACACCTGTACAAAATACTTGAACTAAAGCCAGCTAAATTTTTCTGTTATCTTGCATGTTTTATGAATCTATTCACATCTAAATGCAGCACTTTTTTTTTGCAATGAGACATTTGTTTTTATTCTAAAATATCTCAATTACTTTCAATAAAGCTGGAAATTATGTTCCTTAAAATAATTAAACAAATAAGGCACCAATGTTTTTGTAAGATATTTACATCTTTTAAGGACATTCGGTAGACTGATTCCCCACTGTTGGTTCAACCCCAAAACTTGTTTGTATTCAAAATTAATTATGACAATGCATATTTATATTGAAACAAACTATGATAAAGGGAATTATATTATATAACAAAGGGCAAGGTCACCAGAGTTCAACTATGTTTTATTCTGGATTATTCTCTGTAAATTTTATTTTATTTCTTTAGTGCATATTTAGGGAATCGTCACCTGCGCATGCGTCAGATGATCATAGCGTGTCATTGTTTACAAACAAGCGTCTACCCACAAGCCGTTGCGTTTTTAGCGTGTGTTGTTATCATCGCTTGGGACTCAATTTCCGCCCGTGCGCAGGTGACGACCCTCCCGCTTTAAGTCTTGATTATAACAGGTTTACACTGATTACGTGTTTGAAGAGATTCCCACGGACAATCAGACCAACATGACGGGTAACAGTACGTACAGCGTGGAGCTGACCACTACATCGGATGGCGGCAATTCTACGACATCTACTAGTTCACCAGCCAGTCAACCGGAATTCCGCGTCGAGTCGAAATCGCTAGCATACGGTGACGGGACAAACTTACTGGGTATGTTGAAATTTGCTTCGCGGAGGTTGGTATAAAACAGAAAAAAAAAATGTGGAACACTCAGTAAGATACATTACAGAGTTAGCCGCTATCTCGAAGTTCATTATTAGTATTGTTTTGTCCACAGTCCTGTGTTTTGACTAACACAGCTCTGCGTTTAAAGCGCGGTAGTCGTCGCGCTGCGCATGTTCGACATTTGTGTTGATAAACATTGATTTTCCCACAATCCAATGCGCTCTTCTAATGGAAATCACAAGTATGAGGTTTGACCTGGGCGTGACTTGCATTGATTACCGCCGGTGACTCCTTCGATACCTTCCAATCACATGATTACCTAATTAAAGCTTGGAAACGTGTCAGTTCGTACTCGTTGATCTGCGCAACAGTCAAAGTCGCCATCATTGTTTATATGAGACCCATATATCTCGCACATGCGCAGCGCGACGACTACCGCGCTTTAATGTAGAAGCCTACTCATAATTGTTAACACAATTGGTCATGAAGCTAATGTCCCATGGTACAATGAAATAGCATTATTTTGTGTGTTACAGTTAAGCTTTTTGAGAAACGCGTCCTAATATTTCTTGAAAATTGAAAACAATTCCATAGAATACAATGTTAAAGGAAAATTGCATTTTTTGACACTTTTTAAACCCCAGATATTTGAAATAATTCAGAACAACAAAAAGTACTCCGTCATTAACAATATATGATTTTTTTCAGCCTATGTCACCAGGCTAGAATTTGAGATATTGCATAATATCTCTGCCATAGGAACCTATGGTAAAAACATTATAATAGTGCCAAAATGGCGACTTTCCGCTAAAATAGAACCATCAATTTCTCGAAAATAAGGCTGCAAAATGAATAAATTCTGTTTTTTTTAAATTTATGAGTAGGCTTCTACCTTAACGATGATACGTTTGCTTGTTCGTTGCAGGGTTGTTGGTTTTCTCCGCTGTATTCGGTATAACAATGTGTTTCGAGAGGGCGCTCACACTACCAATGTATAACTTCATGGTGGCACTGCGACTGATCTCAATCAGAATTCTGTCTGCATATATATGGTGAGTAAATGATTTATTTTCAGTCGATGGAACACAGAGCCAAATTGATGAGTTATTGGACATTTAGACAGTACCAAGGCAGCTGCAATATAAAAAACAGCCCCATCGCGTCGAAAGTCGACGTGAGCCCTATGTTGCATATAGGAGTCACGAGCCTGCGTAAAATGGGGCGTCACGAAACCGCAAAAACGTCTAATTACCTGCACCTCTCATCTCCAGGTTGTTGCCGATTGGTACAGCGAGTCTGATATGCAAATCGATGCTGAAAGTCGACAATATCATCGCTGTGTGGAAATCACTGGGGTTGTTCTCTGCTGACGTCATTGTTGGTCTCGGTATCCATGGCTTGATTACGTTACCTCTGACGTACTTCATAGTAACGCGAAAGAACCCTTACTTGTACATGTTGCGATCGTTGAGGGCGATCGTCATGGCGTCGATTACTAAGACAAAGTAAGTAATGGTGATGTCGCCAATCAATCATTGTATTTAATATATACCAGTACCTTCCATGTATATACATATTGAAATGGGACGAGGCCATATCCCCATTTGACCGAAAAGTGGGTAACCAGCGGAATAGTACTCTTGTACCTAGGCCGTAGATTTCATTATAGTTGTCAGTGTATAACGTAAAGAAACAACACATAAAACACGCCACTTGAAAACAGGAGAGGTGAAAAACTGATTTTAACTTAGGGCTCTATAGAAAAGATTTGAGCCCCACTCCAACGCCCTCTACAGTTCAATTTTCTATCCCACAATCCTTTGCAAAATCCAATATGGAGTTAGCACATTTCTTCCCTATACTGTAAAGGGGTTAATTATTCACTGGGTTTTAATTTTGCTTATTTCGCTGACTGGAAAATGCGCTAAATTAAAACCCAGTGAATATGTAAAATTTAGCATAGAACACATTATCGAAATGATAAAACGGTGAATTTAAAACCCTCTGAATATTCCTGAAATGGTAAATCAGCGAAATTTAAACCCAGCGAAAATTAGTCATTTTACAGTATTTGTCACCCTCTGTCGACACACATGCGGCAAATTACATATGTCAACCGTCTATAGTGATTTACGTCCAAAACAAGATGGCGCTGAGGTCACTTTCATACACAGTCTTGTAATTTACTAATGTAGATCTCGTTAAATTTTTTGTTCTCACCCATAGTACCGCTAATATGCCCGAAATATTCCAGTGCTGTATTGTAAATAACAAAGTGAATAAGAAAGTTGTAAACTACGTTGTGTCCATGATGGTTGCTATGAAGAGCGATGGGTCAGCGGTGTTCATTATCAGTGGTTCCCTGTATCTAGCACAGACATCTGGTATGGCCTTGAATGCAGGCCATATAATAACCATGGCGTAAGTATCGTCGTACGTAACTAAATAAACGGACAATTGAGTTTACAAGGGTATTGGATTGAAGGTTAAATAAAAGAACTGTTTCTCTTATGTTCTCTTTGTTGTTTACTATTGACATTTTCCTTCAGAATTGTTGCCTGGGTGATGGGTTTATGTTTACCCGCAGTTCCGAGTGCCAGTCTCGTTTCCATAGTAACAGTTTGTAGTTCCGTTGGCGTCCCGACGGATAATATTGGTCTGTTGGTTTCCATGGAGTGGCTACTGTAAGTTTTCATTTTTGTTTTTTTCTTAGGAGTGAACCATTGTAAACACTGAGAGGGGCATGGCAGGAAAACTGTACCTTTTCCCTTCATTTAGTTCTGTGCTTTTTTTCGCTGTATATTTTTTTCTGTGTAACATTTTTCTCTGGGAAATAGTCGTGCAGATTTTTTTTCCTGTAATTGATCAATGAGAAATTATTTTTCATGATTTTTTCCTGTGCATTTTGTTCAATTCTGCCATCGCCCCAGAGTTCCTAATGGTTCACCCTTACATCAATCTGACATTTCTGCCATTTAAATAAAATGTTTAATATTTGTTTTAAATAAGTGTTAGATATTAATGATGTACAAATATGATAATGATTTAATTAATATTCGTTCAATGTTTAATGAACCATAATCTTTCGTTCAGTATTTTGAATGTCATTGCCTAGTCTTATCGAAGCCATTTTCTATTCAGGCCACATGGCGATGTACATATACACAGAAAATATTCTGAGGCGCAAGCTTTTCCCAATTTTGTAATTTTGTTGTTGTTGCAATTTACTCGAACGTTCGGAGAAGGTTTCTAATTTGTCTTTTGCAAAAGTATGCTGACAAACCGGAAGCTTTCGGTCGCCATTATCATAATGCATTATGGTCATTTTTGTGTTTCTCACTACAGCGACGCACTTCGCACATCCGTCAATTGCATTAGTCACTGCCAAGCAGCAGGATTGGTCGAATCTTTATTGGGAGATGACGTCACCAACGAACCGATTAAAAATGAAGAGGATGTCACAAACAAGAACAAGACAATTAAGAATGGAGCCAATGACCAGACACACTCAAATGAAGAATTGAGTACATTCATATGAAATGGTCTTACTCATGACATTCGGTGGAATTGTGAATATTCTAATAATTAGGACAGATTATTGATTTCATTTTGAGGCCCAATCTTCATTTGATGTCCTCAGTTCTAGACCCCGGAAGTAATTTATTTCATTGCCGCTAGGAGGAAAGAAATAACACTCGCACAACTGGCAATGACGAGTCGACCAAGTTTTAATTTCAATTAATAAACTAATAGTCTAGCACGTTGAAAGTACCGTCGTGATGGTAGTCACTGAGGTTCCAAGTCGCTTATAAACATATATAACATATTACGAAGACAATAAAATAAAAATAAAGATGAGAGAAATTGTGAGCTCGTAATTATGTCGTTTCTATCAACCGATACCCACAATGCACCACAGTCACACGAAAAGAAATACCTGCGTTGGATTGTTGGTTATTTTTGCTTTGATTGAATTTTCTGTACTTCTCAATTTGTTCGTGGTATTTACTCAATGATATCTAGTTGA